TTTGTTAAATAAATGTCTTTTGAGCAAATGGAAATAACACTACTTTCCACATGGCTCCTTGTGGCAATTAAATGAGATAATTACTAAACCTGCTGGTGACATAAAAGATGTGATGGCTGATTTTATGTGTCAACTAGACTGGGCCATGGAGTGCCTGGTATCTGGTCAAACATTATTCTGGGTGTGTCTGTGAGGGTGTTTTTGGATGAGATTAACATTTGAATCTGTAGACTGAGTAAAGCAGATTACTCTCCCTATGTGGGTGGGCCCATTCAATCAGTTGAAGGCTTGAATAAAACAAAAAGGCTGACCCTCCTTCGAGTAAGAGGAAATTTCCTCCTGCCAGACTTTTCTTGGCCTGGGACATTGGTTCTTTCCTGCCTTCAGACTGTAACTGAACATTGGCATTTCCTGGGTCTCTATCCTGCTGGCATTTGGACTAGAACTGCACCATTGGCTCTCGTGGGTCTCTAGCATGCCAAATGAAGATCTTGGGACTTGTCAGCCTCTATGATTGTGTGAGCCAATTCCTTATAATAAATCATTGATATAGATAGGGATACAGATATAAACATTGCTAGATATCTCCTATTTGTTCTGTTTCTCTGGAGTACCCTAATACAGTAGGTGCTAAATACAAAAAAAGTTGTTTTTATGACTGCTATTTCTGTTATTTCAGAACTTGGCAAGAAATGTTGTCTATATGTAAAGCTGACTGAAATTATGTTTGAGAGACGGGTAAATGCCAATAATGGCCTAAATAGCACTTACTATTTGTGTGCTGTTCAGAAGATTTGATCTTCTAAAATAAGCACTTATTATAACGTATGTGGGTATGTATCAAGATATGTATACATTATATATTATAATATACATAAGGCTCCTGGGGATATTTTATCTTTTCTGGTACAGGTCATGACTTTGAGAAAGAAAAATGTAGGAAGCAGACGGCTATCTCAGGATGGTGTCAAAGGACACAATTTGGTTTTCTGGTGATGACCTTGGCTACCAGATGGTAGACACCCTGAAAGGGACACCTTGAAGACTTTGAGGGTCATCAGTGATTTGGCAGGTAGGAAACTTGTTTTCTAATCAAGACTTTCATCTAAAATCTGAGTTGGAGAAAAGGACAGTGTCAAATTAAAATTTATACTGTGAAAAGTAATAGAGGATAAAATGCCCAATAATTCTTATGGAAAAATAGTACAGAGACTATCAGGAACAATACTTAGAGGTACAGATGTCTATTCACCAAGGTTTATTGAATACCTAGGTGACCTGGGAACTTTAATAGAGAGAGAGAGAGCATATGCATAATACATACTTAGACATGTTCGTATATGCATAGAACATTTCTGGAGAGTATGCGAAATTTGTCTCAAGTTCCATAGAGGGAAAGGACTGGGGACTGGGATGAGACAGAGAATTGTTTTTTATAGCATAAAGTTTTATAATGTTTAAATTTTTACTACATGCATGTATAACTTTTCAATTAAAACTCTATTTTCATTAAACTGTTCTTGGGGCAGGATCACCAGTACCAAGAGGGGCCCACTTGCTTTGAGCAGCTGTGCACTGTCAATATTTAATACACCCCCCAACAGCATTGCCTTTCTGTCCTACTGCAACCAGTCTTCCCCTTCTAGACATCTTCTACACCATCTTCAATGTTCTCTTTCAAAAATGTAGATTTACCTAAGCCAGGAAATCCTTGTTGCCTCCCGTTTCCTACAAGATAAAGTCCGATCTGCTCAGTAGGGCATTGTGGGAAGTGATACTGCACCTAGTACTACTGGTATCATTCCTGGGCCTTCCAGAAGTCCACTGCCTTCCTCTTTCCCACTGTCACTACCCTAAACCAAACTCATCATCTTCTTGGTTTATTGTGCCCTCCTGACAGTCCTTTCTCCAATTTTTCTCCACTCCCATCTGTTCTCCATACACTACATTGTTTTAAAAATGCAAATAGTATCCTAAAGCTCCCCTGCTTATAACCCTTTAAACCTGCCCACTGGGGGCACCTGGCTGGCTCAGTTGGAAGAGCATGCAACTGTTCCTGTTGGGATTGTGAGTTCAAGCCCCATGTTGGATGTAGAGATCACTAAAAAATAAACTTTATTTAAAAAAAAAAAAAACTGCCCACGGATCTTAAGCTAAAATCCCAGCTCCTTAGCAGCGCCAGCCTCTTCCTCTTTCTCCAGTGCCATCTCTTCCCAATTCCTTGCTCTCTCCTCAGATTCAATTTCCACTAACCACTGTACACTGCTCAGTTCCTTGAAAACACCATTCTCTTTCCTCTGAGTCTTTGCACATGCTATTTCCTATCTTAAGAAACTCTTCTACTCTCTTATCCCCGGTCTTCCAACCCTGCCTGGCTCACTCCTTCAGCATAAAGGGTCATAAAAATAAGAATGTCATAAGAAAATCATAAATAATTGAGGGAGAAAAAGTTACCCATTTGAGGAGGAATCCTGTAGGAGTTCAGCTATCAGAAGGGAGCTGTATGGAGCTCCTGGTTGGTGCAGTTGGTTAAGCATCTGACTCTTGGTTTTGGCTCGGGTTGTGATCTTAGGGTTGTGAGGTCAAGCCCTGAGTCAGACTCCGTGCTCAGTGCAGAGTCCGCTTAAGACTCTATCTCCCTCTCACTTTGCCCCTCCCCCCCTTTCTCAAATAAATCTTAAAAAGAAGAAGAAGAAGAGAACTGTATGAGTAAGACAATTGATGCAAGAAAGGGCTGGGCAGGCTGGAGAATGGAAAGAAGAGAGGTCCCTCTGGTGAATAAAGTGGAGAGGACTGAGTGAATAGGTGGCAGAGGGGAGTGGCTAGAGAAGGTGAAAAGACCTTGAAAGCCAAGATAGAGTTTGATCTTCATTTTTTTTTAAAGATTTTATTTATTTGAGAGAGAGAGAATGAGAGATAGAGAGCACGAGAGGGAAGAGGGTCAGAGGGAGAGGCAGACTCCCTGCTGAGCAGGGAGCCCGATGCGGGACTCGATCCTGGGACTCCAGAATCATGACCTGAGCCGAAGGCAGTCGCCTAACCAACTGAGCCACCCAGGCGCCCTGATCTTCATTTTTTAAACAGTGGGAAAACTTGAACTGTTTTTGAACTGGCAAATGATAACCTCCAGTACTTATTTTAGAAAGATGTGAAAAACAGAATGCAGAGGAATGAAGTTGGGGAGCTGGATGATCTTAGGGAAAGAGGATGAGAGCCTGCCCCAGGGCAGCAGCAGGCGGAACTAGCAGGAAACAATGGATTTGAAAGAGATGTGGAGATAACCTCCTGGGCTTGATGACCAAGTGAAGGGGAAGAGAGATCCAGGAATAAGAGAGGACTCACAATGCTAGCCAGAGTAACTGGGAATATGGTGAGGTCATTGGCTGAGATGGGAATCACAAAAGGAGAGCAGCTTTGGAGGCAGATAATGAATTAAGTTTGGAACATGTCGACTTCTGGGTATAAGGTCAGGAAGCCCATGTCCATAATTAAAATCAGACACAACCTAGGGTACAGCATGCAGGGCCTTTCACGGAAACCACCTGTTAGGGTTGGTTTCATCTTTTCTGGTGTGGCATGTTTCCATGACTCCTGTTTTCCATATCCTGACAAAGTCATGTGAATTGTTTGCCTTGCATGCAGAGAAGGAGTTGTAAAAGCACAAGGAAAGTAGAGATAAGGTCTATGAGTAGGAGAAGACCTATTGTGCCCGGGGTGAAATTTGCGCTAAAAAATTGTTTTTCTCTCCAAGCTTGTGTTAATCACTACTCTTTCTCTTCAAGTCCTAGTTCTGCTGTGATGAGCAACCTGAACTCTCAGGACAACTTCACTTCTACTCTGCACTCAGCCCCTGGAGCACTTTGAAGTCCACAGTGCAAATATTTTTCACATAGTTATGCAGTTCCTTTTTCGCTTTTGAACTCTTCACAGGTGTATATCTTGTCTCCTTAACTAAATCTTAATTTATTAAGAGCTCAATTGATGCCCAACATTTAGTTTTTTTAATTGTCATATATTAAGTTTTCAAAAAATACAAAGTGGATTGAAACTGACACTGGGGAAGAAAGGAGAAAGGACAGTAACCACCTTGAAAGGACAGAGTAATCAAGAGATAATATGTTGGTTAGAGGTGTGAGATAGTATCAGTTCCTAACATAGAAAGGAAACTATTCTAACATAAAAGAAATGCTTTACCCCCCTCTTCTAATAATAATGACTTTGCATTCTAAATATGCTTAAAAGGAGGAGAGGAATACTGGTATTCTAATTGTCAAGTAAGTTGTCTTCTCAACTGGCTAAAAAGTCTGTTTTTCAGGCACCACCTTTGGCTTATAAGCAATATTGATAAAATACAGGACTTGTCCTTTACAGTTAATTATATTTAGTTGTACTAAACAGTGTAAGACTGAGGGTTAAGTTTTTCACTTCCTTTTAGTTCTTCCTTTTAGTTAGAGGTCCACTTGTGTGGCCATTGAGATGTTTGGGCAACTTAAAAGAAGGGTCTTCATGACTCAGCTCATTACATAATTCCCTGGATAGAGGAATGAAGGTGGAACAACCCCAAGTATTGCCAGTGGGCGGATTGTGCACTTGTCATGATGGAGGAAGTTGTATGTGGGGGCGGGGGGGGAGAAGAGATTTTGTTGCTAGCTGGTAAGTACCAATAGGCCTCAGATCACAAAGATCTCTCTAGCTGTCTTGCCAGAAGTGCCTGTCAGTCTACCATCGACATCACTATTTAATATGGAACCCCCCCCATTAAGATCACCCTTCAGCATGTACAGGGGCATTGGAAGAATGAGACCTATAGCTCATAGCTTTCAACAGGGAGTGCAGTTAGGAGTAGGAAAGGAAGTGGTTCAAAAATGGATCTGAGACGACTCTTGGGAACAGCATGAAGCATGACTCTGGAGGTTGGCAAAGACAAGGGGGAAAAGACACTGGAGTGATTGCTTCACAGTCTTGCCAAGGGCTCCATTCCCACTCCTTTTAGAGCATACCTTTCCCCTTCTGAGATTCCCCCAGGCACCAGGTGACCAGCAGGAGAGGTCCTTCTTTGCCCTGGTGGCAGCAACATCTGTGGGCTCTGTGTCACATTCCTTTCCAGACTTCACAGGCCTCAGGTTACAAAGGTCTCATTGCACAATTCTTAGGAGAATAGGCATGGAGGCTGGACTGGGATAAAGGAAAGTCCTGTATATGTCAGAGATCCAGGTGGGGCCAGATGCCAAGGCACCCCAGGTGGTGCCAGCAACAGAAAGAATCAAATGTCTTGATCTCTAGCGAGGTAGCTTTCTCTACTTTTATTTTTTTTTTTCCCAAGGCTGTTAAATAAGACTTATCAGGATGCATCTTTTTGGGTAATTTGATGGAAAACACTTCAAAAGTTTACTTGGCATACCTGTGTTTCCGTTTTACTGGAGAGATTTGAGAGTTCAAAATCCACAATGAAGAATCTGAAACTAAAGCTCTTTTTATCCTTCCACTTTTCATAATCAACTTTCTCCTATAGTTTTGTGCTAAGTATGTACGAAATTACTCAATATATTACACAACCTTTGAAATTAATATGGAAGCTGAAAGATACTACCACAGTCCTGTTTAAACCCTATGCCATGATGGAATGTTCTTTTCTATTAGTGATCATTTAATAATTCTTTTTGTTAAAGATAATCTGTGTAGATAGCTAGAAACATATGGAAGATCCTTACAGGACATATATTTTTCAGTTGGTTAAAAAACAATCTAGTGACCTAGAAAATATTCATCAGACCTCTGGAACTGGCGACTGTAGACAGATATTAATATATTTGCAGTGAATTGAATTGGAAAAAGCTCTGAGTGTCTGTATCCAGGGAGTGCCTAGGCTCAAACTTACAGATTAATTAGAGATGCAAGACAGATACAGCTCTACATAAAAGAAACAAATCTAAGGCAGCTCCTAAGTTATCAAGGTAATTCCAAATAAAATATTTATTTGCAGGATAAGTTAGGAAAGGCTCATAAAGGAGACATATTAGCTAATAAGGGTAGGCCAGTTACCACAGATGGTATAATATCCACATCTGCCAGATGAAGTGTTCCACTCATACATTTATGGAGTACACATATATATATCACAGAGTATGCACACACATATACATAAACAAAGCAATCTACCTAAACTGGAAAAGACAAGGCCACAGAAAGTTTGCATATTTATTATATAAAGCAAAAAGGCCATTAATGGTATAAATGCCTTTTTTTTTTTCAGCAAACTACTACTAATCCTGCCTCAAGGCAGAGTAACTTGTTGATTGCCCAGGATTTATTTTCATTGTTATCTATGGGGTCTTGGGTGCCTTTTCTTGACCTTGACCAGAGCTTATTTTATTTGGGTTGTAAAGTCTAGGAGAGCTTTGGTGATTAGTGTCACCTACATAGAATACTTGATTTTAACAATAACCACATCAAGGGGGTAAAATGAGATTTCCTCTCTTAGGATATTCTAAAATAGCTGAAATAAGAACCAATAAATTCATTCAGCATGAATTAGGAGCAGAGAATATTGAAGGAGCCACCAGGCTGAAAGTAAGAGGCTTTAAGCTATATTCCCCAAGCTAGCATTCACTAGCTTAACAACCTAAGTCAAGACACAACCTCTCTATGCTGGTTTTTTCTTCTGGAAATGAGGACATTGGAATGGATGATCTCTTACTTCCCTTCTAACTCTTAAAATTCTGTGGTATGTGACTAACACAATGGTCAGAAAACATTATAGTCAATAAATATGTGTAGACAAGTTAGGACATTCTATGTTTTTTGGATATTATTTTAGGTTAGACCTAAACTTCGTTGTCACTGACTAAGAATGAATTCTAAAAATTGGACTGATGAAGTTTTAATTTGCAAGGACCTAAGAGGTTGGGTCATAACAAAATTGTAAAAATTATAGTGGCTTCTCTAGAGGGAAGTTGGATATATACTAGAGTTAATGTGAAAGTGCATTTTGTTTTTATCTCGACCTCTGGGTTTACTGACATGTTTTGGGTTATTATTACTTTTATGGTGTATACAGTGTTGGTCTTACTGCTGAGATATATTTATTCCTGATGTGATAGAGACCAAAGAGTGTTAAAATTGTGTCCTGTGGTTAGAGATTGGGTCTCCCCTCTCCTTGTCTATTGCTGGTGGGGTCTCCTGTGGGTAACTAACCTACCTGTCAGAACACTAGACTGCTGCTTCTACTGAGGGAATGTGGCCATAAACTTAGCTCTTGCAGGCAAATCTCAGCGTGCCTGCCTGAACAGTCCTGTACTTGGCTCCAGGGTCGCAGTGTGCTGAGACACGGAGAGAGGCCAATGGAGATGAGTCAGGACCTGGCACCCACCCCATGCTCCGCCCTACTGGTAAACAGAACAGCTATTTGCCCGTCACTCGAGCCTCTCAGGGCCCCAAGACTCCAGGAAGAAACAAATACTTTAGAAGCCAAAACCCCAAGGCAAGGTAAAGAAAACAGAAATGTCCGCATCCCCAGTGATGATTTCACTGGCATGAGTGCTTTAGAGGGGGAGGAGCTGTAAATGGTTCCAGCTGAACTATTTTACCTACTTCTGAACCATAAGGCCCTTCTCTTTCACTGTTTATAGGGGATGATGACCTTTTTGCCTTTTAAGCCTTGAAATCTCAAAACCAGACTTTAGAATTAATCTTGGTTGCTAACCCCTAATAAATTTATTTCTCCTTTTTTTTATTACTTTTGTTTTTATTTTTATACTATCTTCTACTAAAATACTTCTTTAAGTTAACTTATTTTCTGTTTAGTTATTTTTCCCTGTCATTTTGGGGAAAAGCTATTAAAAGAATAAACATTACCAGGCAATAAATGTAAACTACTTTACAAAGTAATTTTACACTGACTTCTTGAGGTAACTGTTTCTTTTGCATTTTTGCAATGGTTGGGGAGAGAACAGTGAGGGGCTAACAGTCTTGGAAATGTACTCATCTGGCTTCATGACAATAAATAAGTCTGGCTTTTGGGAGGATGCACCTCAGCTCTCTTTCTGGTGGGACTATCTTTGGCCTTTTTTCTGCTCACTTTACTGTAAAGTGTCTGGTGCATAGTCTCTGTGCTTATACTATTATTCCTAAGCCTGAAGATACACTCATCTTATGGTCTTCTCCTCCTGTTTTTTAGATACCAGCAATTTCTGTTCTAAGCTTAGCAATTGTTACATACCTGAACTGGAGGCATGGCTGGCTGATTCCTTCTAGCTCAGTCAGGTAGCGTCCCACCTCTAATATATCAATAGGTGAACCTTCTGTTACCTTTTACTCAGTAGCCATGGCTGAGCCTGGGCTGGATATTATGATGTCACAGAGTAGAATCCTTGCTCCTCCCAAAGGCCCAGCTGAGATCTTCTAGATTCAGCATTTTCTGTCTTGCCCAGGATGGGAGTTTGGGAAGGTTAATCCCTTTATTTCTTCTTTTTTTCCCCAAAGCTTTTATTTATTTATTTGACAGAGATAGAGAGAGAGAGCATATGAGCAGGGGGAGAAGCAGGCTCCCCACTGAGCAAGGAGCCCAATGCGGGGCTCCATCCTAGGACCCTGGGATCATGACCTGAGCCAAAGGCAGCCACTTAACTGACTGAGCCATCCAGGTGCCCCTAATCCCTTTATTTCTTAACTGAGCCACAGAATCATAGAATCTTACTATGAGCAGAGACCTTGGAGACCTAGTGACTAGATTTTAATCTAACTCCCTTATTTTACAGATGAGAAAATTCAGATTCCAGGTAGTTAAGTGGCAGAGCTTAATCTAAACCCAGGTGCCCTCAGTGTTAGCCCTCTGTCCTTCTGAACACACTGCACTCATGCTGGGCTCTACTCTCTGGATTTTGTCAACATCATTGTTCTCTGATAGACAGCTTGTTGGATGATTTTTACCTGAATCCACCCATGACAAGAAACCATTCAGTTAATGTGTATCATGGGAAGAGGACAGAGTCCCAGGGAAGATCATTAGTTTTTCTGACAATCTATAGGCACCAGAAATAGCCAACTTTGGTCCTGGCCCAAACTGAGAAATTCTGAGCCACCAGACCAATTCTAGATTAATAAGTAATGAGACTTCTGAGTAACTGATGTTCTCAATGAGATTTGATAATAAGGAAGAATGCCCAACCCAGGATTAGTTTTGGCTGCAATGCCATACATGTTTCTAGTGTTTGTTGAGGAGAGAATGGGAAAGAATAATCAGTAGAGAAATAGGTTTTCACTGGAATTTACTCTCTTTCATACCATTCACTTTCTCTAGATACTGTCTCCATATGGCATTAAAAAATTATCTGCATTGCATGAGATGACTCGTATCTGTGAAGCCAGAATCGTGTACTTGCAAAATCTCTCAAAAGGGGAACATATATTCCACTTTTATAACACCAACAACTAACATTTTACATCATGTTTTAGCATTTACAAGCCATTTTCACATATATCATTTCATTTAATCTTCACAGCTCAGTGAGGTAAACAGTGTATTATTTTTAGTACAATTTTATGAGTGAGAAAATTATTAACTTAGAGAGGTTGTGACTTGCACAAGATCACAAAGCTAATTAAGTGGAGAGAGTAACATCAGCTACAAACTAGATCTTCCAACCAAGCATTTTCCCTACCACGGAGCTTCCCCAGGGTGGGAGGAATTGTCATGTGGTCCTGGAAGTCACTTGAAGGCAATCGCAGTAGGCAACCTTTTGATTAACAAAGAAGAAAGTATTCCTCTGGGTCATAAATACTGCTTTACTAACCTCCTACATGTCTCAATAAAAACTTAGAGAAACGGTTAGTGAACACTAATTTCAAACTTTAAAATAATATAACCATTGCCCTTCTACCTGACAATTCCACATTTGTGAATTCTACTAAGAGAATTATCATGGATATGAATAATATTTAGCTATAAGAGGTTCATTCTTTGAAATATTGTTTATAATAGAAAACAAATTAAAAGCTCAATATTAGAAAATTGGTAAAATGGATTATGTTTAACTCATGAAAATAATGTTGTGGGTGAAGTTTTCCAGAACTTTAATCATTCATGTGCTATCTTTGGAATAGCACCATCTGCACTAATATCTACTTAATATCTTCTTTAAATTAACTCTCACACTTTACTGAAACAAGAGAATTTAAAGGTAATTTTTTATCACTACATAAGTAAAAATGTAGTATAATTACCTTAGGTGTCAGATAACTATAAAAACAGATATAACAAAGTCTGGCTCTCGGCCAGTCCCACCCACCCACCACTATACCTGCAGCAGTCATGACCCTGCCACACACAGGACACCCCTGGAACACCTAGTTCTGGTGACCAGGGGAACTGCACTTCTGGGCCCCCACAGGACATCCCTACATAAGGCCACTTCTTTAAGCCTGGGAGATGTAGCTGAATTATCTAATATACAGAAACAGAGTTAGGCAAAATAGGAGAGTGAGGAATATGTTCCAAGTGAAAGAACAAAACAAGACCTCAGGAAAAGAACTGAACAAAGCAGAGATAAGCCATCTACCCAATAGAGTTCAAAGTAAATGTCATAAAGATGTTTACTTTATGAACTCAGGAGAAGATTGGATGAACACAGTGAGAACTTCAATAAAGAGACAGAATGTAAGAAAGTACCGATCAGAGCTATGGGATACAATAACAGAAATCAACAATACACTAGAGGAAATAAACAGCAGATTAAGTGATACAGAATAATGGATCTACAATCTGGAAGACAGGGTAGTAGAAGTCACCCAAATTGAAAAGAAAAAAGAATTTTTAAAAATGAAGATAGTTAAACGGACCTGTAGGACAACATCAACACAAAATAAAAAGATGTAAAATATGACATCAAAACCATAAAACATGGTGGATAAGGAATAAAAAAGTAGTGTTTTTATAATGTGTTCCAACTTAAGTGACCACCAACTTAAAAGAGTACTAAATACATAGGTTGTTATATATGAACCTCATGATACCCACAAGCCAAAAACCTATAATAGAAACACAAAAAATAAAGAAAAAGAAATCCAAATATAACACTAAAGAAAATCACCAGATCACAAGGGAAGAGATAAGATAAGAAGAAAGGAACAGAAAAAAACTACAGCTCTTTTGCTCAGGCCCATGACGCTGGCAGGATGGGCAAGTGTCATGGTCTTCATACTTCCAGAAAGCTCAGTAGCCACCAACAAGATCAGAAGTGGTATGATAAACAGTACAAGAAAGCCCATTTGAGCACAGCCCTGAAGGCCAACCCTTTTGGAAGCTTTTCCCATATGAAGGGAATTGTGCTGGAAAAAGTAGGGGTTGAAGCCAAACAGCCAAATTCTGCCATCAGGAAGTGTGTCAGGTCCAGCTGATCAAGAATGGCAAAAAAGAAAAGAAAAAAAAAAAACCCACAGCCTTTGTAACCCAACATAGTTGTTTGAATTTTATTGAGGAAAATGATGAGGTTCTGGTTGCTGGATTTGGTTGCAAAGGTCATGCTGTCAGTGACATTCCTGGCATTTGCTTTAAGGTTGTCAAAGTAGCCAATGTCTCTCTTTTGGCCTTATACAAAGGCAAGAAGGAAAGACCAAGATCATAAGTTTTGATGGTGAAAACATGACAATATTAAATTTTCATATACAAAAAAAGAAAACTACAAAATAATGAGAAAACAATTAACAAAATGGAAATAAATACATACCTATTGATAATTATTTTAAATATAAATGGATTAAATGTTCTAATCAAAAGAAAATGTGGGTGAGTAGATTAAAAAGAGAAAACAAGACCCATCTATATGCTGCCCACAAGAGACTCAGATCTCACTTCAGATCTAAAGACACACAGACTGAAAGTGAAGGTATAGAAGAAGAAATTCTATGCAAATAGAAACAAAAAGAAAGCTGGGGTAGCAATATGTATATCAGACAAAATAGACTTTATTTATTTTTATTTTTATTTTTTTAAGATTTTATTTATTTGAGAGAGAGAGCGAGCATGAGCAGGGAGAGGAAGAGGCAGACTCCCCACTGAGCAGGGAGCCTACCGTGGGGCTCAATCCCAGGACCCCAGGATCATGACCCAAGCCAGAAGGCAGATGCCCAACAGACTGAGCCACCCAGGTGCCTCAAAATAGACTTTAAAACAAAAGCTGTAAAAGACAAAAGGAGAAATACAACAAGAAGATATAATAATTATAAATATGCACCCAACATAGGAGCACCTAAATATATAAAGCTAATATTAACAGACAAAGAGGGAGAAATTGACAATAATACAATAGTAATAGGGGACTTTAACACTCCACTTACATCACTGGATAGATCATCCAGATGGAAATTAAGAAACATTGGCTCTAAATAACACATTAGACTAGATGGATGTAATAGATATATACAGAACATTGCATTGAAGGCAGCAGAATACACATTCTGCTCAGGTGCACATGAAACATTCTTCAGTATAGATTACATTTCAGGCCACAAAAGTTTCATTAGATTCAAGATTAAAATCATATCAAGCATCTTTTCTGATCACAATGGTATGAAACTAGAAATCAATTACAAGAAGAAAACTGGGAAAACAAACATGGAGACTAAACAACATGCTACTAAACAATCAATGGGTCAGTGAAAAACATCAAACAGGAAATAAAAAAAATCTGTGAAAAATGAAAATAAAAACACAACATTCCAAAATCTGTGGGACGCAAAAGCAATTCTAAGAGGAAAGTTTATAGTGATACAGGCCAACCTCAAGAACAAGAAAAGTCTCAAATAAACAATCTAACCTTAAACCTAAAAAGAACTAGGAAAAGAAGAACAAACAAAGCCCAAAGTTAGTAGAAGGAAGGAAATAATAAAGATCAGAGTGGAAATAAATGGAATAGAGACTAAAAGAACAATAGATAAGATCAATGAAATTAAAAACTGATTCTTTAAAAAATAAAATTGAGGAAACTTTAGCCAAATTCATCAACAGAAAAAGAGAAAGGATTCAAATAAATGAAGTCAGAAATGAAAGCAGAGAAGTTACAACTGATACCACAGATATGTGAAAGATCATAAGAGACTACCAAAACAATTATATGCCAGCAAATTGGACAACCTAGAAGAAATGGATAAATTCCTAGAAACAGAATATTCTGAGACTGAATCAGGAAGAAATAGAAAATATGAACAGACCAGTCACTCTTAATGAAATTGAATCAGTTACTAAAAGTCCAGGATCAGACAGCTTCACTGGTGAAATCTACCTAATATTTAAAGAAGAGTTAATACCTATCCTTCTCAA